CTCCATCAATTTACTATTCAAAAATTTATTTTTGTCAAAAATGGGGCTCAAACAGGCTTATAAGATGGATGGCCGATTCTTGTCTTGGCAGCTTGGACGACTCCGTAGACAAGTTTGAAATGGCCCTTGCTAAAGAAATTGGATATTTCAATGTCTATTGGTATGACCTCGTTTTTTGTAATTGCTAGAAATTGTTGTCATATACAAGGTATACTTGATAAGTAGATTTAATTTATTTTCACTGTGGATTTGATGGATTTTTGGTCTTAGAATTATCTTGAATGCACTTTCTTTCTATTTTTTAGGAGTTAGGTTTGGCAGACACAGGAGAATTCAGAAAAGAATGGAAAGAAAAGTGGCAAGTGCAAGAAACTTAAATTCATTTCTTGTGTTTGGTTTAGACTTGTAAGTCGAAGGAAAATTCAAACCCCAGTGGCATGCTTGGTTGGCAGGGCTGCATAATTAATTTTGTTAAGTGCCTCTCTTGTTTAATCTCATCCGTGTTCTAATCCTATTTGCTCCAGTGTACCGAATATGCTCGTGAAGAACCACGACTGCAACTTTTCCATTTACCTTCCAAACTTAGTGCTTGGAACTTTTCTGATTGTTACCTAAAAGAATTTCTGAAGTAGAGAAGAAAAAGGTTAATGACAGGTGAACTAACCAACCTTGAAAATAATATGAATTAGTGTTAGGTTTGTTTGGCAAAGTCTTAACAATAATTGAAATTTTGTTTAGTATTTTAACAAGACTTGGTTTCAAATATTGGAAAATTCATAAAATATGTTACATAAAAATATTTACACATGTGCATTCGTGTACGTGTGTTGTAACGTTAACGTCAATTATTGGCATTTTATCTTCTAGTGATAAAACCATGGACAATTGGTTCCGAGTGGCTTTGTGATTACGGCCAAAGTAAAAAAAATAATTTTGTTCATATATTACTAGTTTGGTTTCTTCTATGATAAATATTACTCGTATGCAGAGTCAGTTTAAGCATCGAACGAGTTAGACAGTCGTATTAGACCACTGATATATTGTAGGCTCCAATTTTTAAAATCTACAATTTGTGTATTTGGTTTTATTATTCATTTTTTTGTCGATAATTAATAATATATAAAAAATGATTAAACATAGTTTGGATATTAATAATTTTAACAAATTTAATTTATCAAGAAATTTTTTGTCAATTAATAAAATAATATAAAAAATAAATAGTAATGGGACTTGGAAACAAAATAAAAGTTAAAAGAACAACTTATAATTCTGCAATATTTTAGGAAAATGAAAATACAGCTACACGTTAATCCCTCCTTCCCTTAAAAGAGGGAATCCTTTTATCACTGTTCATTTATGTCACACGGGTTTTCACATTTATCCTCTTTTCATCTGCTTTTGCTACAATCACTTCCTAATTCCTAAATTATGTTTCCTCCTTCCCTTTTTACTATTCATTTTTGTCCCCTTGGTTTTGTGGTGTTAATTGGACAGGTGGATTGCATTTGATATTTTCCTCCATATGTAGCCATCTTTGTTGACTAATTGGTATATATTTTCCTCATCCCTTCAGTTGTAGTTGATATTTTATAAATATATTTTCCATATATCTTTTGTATTGGAGAAGCAAACCAACAAGTCAGGAACCAAAATCTTTATTTCACTCCGAGACTATGGTGTAGTAAAAGTAGTAGATTCTCTCCACAAATCGCGACAACCAATTTCGTGTTGTCACACTCCTCCATTGTTCGTCGTCTCTGGCTCCACTTTGTCGTGGTGTCCACTCTACAAAGGAACTCCAAAGAAACCTAAAAGATTTGCTCGACCTCTCCGTGCAGCGCAGAGAGTTTAAAATTATTCTCCCACTATTGGTTATTTCTTAATTTTTGTATTTTT